CCATCCCTAGTCATCACACAGGTCATCACACAGGTCATCACACAGGTCATCACACAGGTCATCACACAGGCGCTCTCCAGCAGCGTGTCAGTGTCCCGCTCCCTCCCCTCACTCAGGATGGCCTCGCCCCTCTCTGAGCTGGTTCTGCTGGAGGTTTCTTCCTGTTAAAAGTGAGTTTTTCCTTCCTACTGTTGCTCATAGTGCTTGCTTATAGGGGGTCACATGATTGTTGGGGTTTCTCTGATTTATTGTAGGTTAATTGGCTGAAAAGATTTATTTGAAAAGGTTTATTTAAGAGGACCCAAACACAGACGCTCGAGGCAGGAAGCAGGTTCAATCAAATACAAGCCGTTTATTGGAGGCTGGAAAAACATGAGAAACAAAGGCAAAGTAACACGAAAATGAAATAAACTTAAACCTAAACTTGGGAAAAACTAAGTAAAGATCTAAGTATCAAAGAACTACAGACCATGAACATCATGAGGTGACCAGACACGGGTAGGAGAAAGGAGAAAGGAAGACTGGTGAACTAAATACACAGAAGCGCAGTGAGGAACACAGCTGATACAAATGCACGTGACGCCACGGGGGAAGCAAAACTAAACACACTGAACATGGAGACACAAGACTGTCAAAATACAACAGGAAAAACTCAGACGTAGACTGACACATGAGCTGGACACAGGAGGAAACACAGATGAGAGGGAGCGAGGGAGCACGAGAGAGAGGACATGACCGGCAGGGAAGCCGTGGAACAACACACAGGAAGGGGAGACGTGACATCACGACACACAGGAATGGGAGACGTGAGAGAGGTGACATCACCACACACAGGAAGGGAAGACGTGAGAGAGGTGACATCACCACACACAGGAAGGGGAGACGTGAGAGAGGTGACATCACCACACACAGGAAGGGGAGACGTGAGAGAGGTGACATCACCACACACAGGAAGGGGAGACGTGACATCACCACACACAGGAAGGAGAGACGTGACATCACGACACACAGGAAGGGGAGACGTGACATCACCACACACAGGAAGGAGAGAGGTGACATCACCACACA